AGTTTCTTGTTAAATTGAGTTTCGATAAAATATATAAAGTGAATTAAATGGTTTCTGGTTTCACTTTTGTTGGCCATAAAAATTGTCCAAGTAAACCTGCTGTAATCGTCTACGAGGGTTAAAAAATACTTGTGGCCACATATGGAAGGTGTGGAAAGAGGGCCCCAAATATCGACATGAAGTAAATCGAAGATGGCAACAGACTTAGTATTACTGTGAGTAAATGGCAAATGTTTTTGCTTAGCCAAATGGCAAGTATTACAGGGCTTATGATTGTCATTGTAGGTGACAAAAGGAAATTGAGAGGAAATACATTTGTGTATGTAAGGACTTAAGTGTCCAAGTCTAAGATTCCAAATAGTAGCAGGATCGTGTTTAGCAGGTTCTAATTGGGGAGAAGAGGAGGTGTTGACAGAGCCAGATGTGGGAGAGATGGCCTTAGGTGGGGTGGCATCAAGAACATACAATTTGCCAATCCTCCTAGCTGTAAATCCAGTCATCTTGGATTGGGACAACTGCATAATTTGACAACAATTAGGGGAAAATTTCACATCATATAAAGTGGAGTCAAAAAGAGTGGTGACAGAGATAATGTTGACATGAAATGAAGGAAAGTAATAAACATTATGAAGGACAAGTGAATCACATAGTAAAACTGAACCAGCAATAGTTGTAGTGACAGAGTCACCATTAGGCATTGTCATAGATTTAGGTGCAATGTGGTATGTGGAAAGGAAACTGGCAAAGATATGGGTGATGTGATCAGTGGCACCTGTGTCAATGATCCACCAGTTATGACAAGGAAGATTTGAGGAATTCTTACCAGAGGAAGTATGAGGAGAGGTATGGGACACAGAATTAGCAGTATAAACTGAATTAATTGAGAGAGGTGAAGGAGATTGCAAATTAGACTGTTGGAGGAGCTGCATAATCTGAGTGTATTGCTCTTGAATCATAGACAAAGCACTTGGACTGGTGTTTGATGTGGAAGCAGAGGAAGATAATGCCTCAAGTTGAGGAGAAGCAGCATCTTGAATCGAGTTCACTGTAGAATCAACAGAATTCCCCACAGATGTAGTAGGCTTGCATTGTTGAAATCCAGGGGGATAGCCATGTTTCATGAAACAAGTCTCAATGGTGTGATTGGTGCGGTTGCAATGAGTACAGAGTCGGTTTCCACGGCCACCACGGCCACGACCACGACCAGGGTTGTGAGAAGAACGAGAAGGTGCTTGAGAAAGGTGATTCACAGACGATTGAGACTCAATTGAAGAAGCAGAAGGTGAAAGAAGGTTAAATTGACGTTCTTGTTGAAGAACCAGATTAAACACATTATCAAGAGTTGGTAGTGGGGTCATCAACATAATCTGCGAGCGAACATGAGCGTATTGGTCACCAAGGCCCTTCAAGAACTTGATAACTTTATCTTGTTCTTTGAATTTGCGTAAGTCTGAAGCAGCACCACGGGAGCACGGTATAGCGTAAGTACAATCACGAATTGGCCGGAAGTTCTCGACTTCTTCCCAAAGCGTCATCAATTTTGTGAAGAACGAAGAGATATCGAGAGTTCCTTGTTGAAGACGAGCAACAGTTTCTTGAATGTCAGCAATGCGAAAAATGTCTCCCTGAGAAAAATGATTTTCCAAACTTTTCCATACAAGAGAAGCACGATCATACCAGAGAAGAGATTTTGCAATTTCCTCATAAATCGAGCGTTGAAGCCATGAGAGGACGAGATTGTTGCATCGCAGCCAAGGTTCGTATAGAGAGTCGGAGATAGGCGGAGGAGAAAGAGTGCCACCAACGAACTTGATCTTGTTCTTGGAGATAAGAGCCACTTTCATCGATCTAGACCAGATCTGGTAGTTCTTGGTATCAAGAACTGGTTGAACAAGAACAAGAGAGGGATTTTCGTTAGGATGCATATAATAAGGATTGGAATGGTTTGTAGTGAAATCGGAGTAAGGAAGCACCATAGTCAATGCTGAAGCATTCAAAGGAAGAGGCGAAGACGCGAAGAAGAAGGAGAAGGCGTGAAGAAGATGAAAGGAGAGAAAAGGGAGGCGCTTGCATCATGTAATACAATAATCCCCACAATTTACTAGGATACCTTAAATCATGAGACTTAAATTATCTTTAAATTGATGAAACAAGATAAAGCAGAATGAAATAGAATAGAACAGAATAAAATATAAAGTTTAATTTATTTTTATATATTTTATTAATAAAATTCTATTTCATTACATATAACTCAAATTGAATAGAATAAAAAATGAAATATTAGATGAATTGGATAAAATAGATTTCATCTTATTCTACTCTATTCAATTCATTATTTACCAAATCAAAATAATTTCATTCTACTTACAGACCCTAAGAAAAACTCAAAGGTAATTGATTCTTTATCAAAATAAATTGACTTTAAAATAATTCATACCATAAAATCAATTTATAAATATAAATTAGTTTTAAATTAATTTTAAACCGGATTGAAATCAATTTAAAAATTAACTATTAAACTTTGTTTGATAAAAATAATTATTAACTAATAAGTTAATTTATAATTTATAATTGATGATTAATAATTTATCTTTGATGGTTGATAGTTGATAAGCTAATTCAAATGTTTGATAAAATTAACAATTAAACTAATTTATAAATGTAAAATGACATAAAAGACATTTAATATATATTTATTTTATTTTAAACTAAAATAAATTATAAAAAATTAAAAAAAGATTTTTTGTTAAAATAATAAGAATAAAAATGAAAGTAAAAAACTCTAAATTATAAATTCTTTCTTTTTCTATTTTATTTGATTTACTTTCTGTTTTTATATATTTTTTTTAAATTCGAAAAAATTTGTAAATATTTAATTTGATATTTAGTTGTATTTTTGAGGTTTTGATAATTTTATTTTAATCTTTTTCTCCTTTTCAATTGTTTTTTTAATAAGAAAATTATTAATATTTACATATTTGTTGCATTGTACCAAGTGTGTCTATTTAATTACATAACAAAGCTTTTATAAACACAATTATAAATATTTTGGATTTAAACACACTCACGTATGATAAAATATAGAAACGAGTAAAGCTTTTATAAACACAATTATAAATATTTTGGATTTAAACACACTCACGTATGATAAAATATAGAAACGAGTAATTAATTTATCATTATTATTATTGATATAATAATGTTTTTATATTTCTTTTATAATTTGTGTGAGTGTGCATAAATTTAATTCATTTGGGTTTGTGACCATATAAGTGTTGCTCCCGAATATATTCAATATTAAATTTTAAAAAAATACAATAAAAAAAATTTCAGATATATATATTTAAAATTATTTATTTTTTAAAAAAAATCATTCAAATATATATATTCAAAAATATCTTTTTTTTTAAGTAAGATTTATTCTAATATACATTTTCGAAAACAAAATTTCGAACATACATATTCAAATTCACCATTTTTATAAAAAATATTTATTCAATTATACAAATCCGAAAATGTTATTTTTTTAAAAAAATATGACATACATTTTCGAATTCACTTTTTTTCCGTAAAAATAAGATTTATTCATAAATGTATATTTGATATTACTTTTTTCCGTAAAAAAGTAAAATTTATTCAGATATATATCTTTAAAAATAAATATTTATAAATAAAAAATGCGTCTGAAAATACATCCCTAAAAATATGTTTAGAATTTTGGTCAAGACTTCAGAGAAATAGTAGAGTACAATGAGAAACTGCCTCAACGAAATTGGAGGTATTAGCATTTAAGACAGATGTGTGAATGAAGTTGGATTCATTGAATGGTCATTCTTAAATTATTATTGATGTTATTATTGAGAGTGATAGTAAAAATGTGGATGATGCTATCATGCACCTATATTTCTTGATCGTTTGATCTATGCTGCAATGAATTAATCATATTTCCTCTATAAAAAATATAAAAAAAAACATATCATGTGATCCATCACGTCTCAAACAGACAGGATACAACATTTGTCTAACTACCACAGGATTTCTGGAGGATACTACACTACTATATAACCAAACCAACCCAACCAGAGTTATTAATGTATTATACAATGAACCTTGCATCCACGTGCTACCAGACCAACCTAGCCACGAAATTACATCATCCATTTATTGTTTTCACAAGGTAGTACATGTTTTGATTGTCTCAAACTACATTTACCTACCAGTACTTGTGCCTAAAATGTGCATGGTCCCTTTCTACCGGTGCACTTCAAATTAAACTTCGAAACTTCTACTTCAATTTTCCTTTTCATAGAGTACACTACATTGTCCTTAGCACTGACTCACTCCACAAACTCAAAAACTACACATTCATCAGAACCATGATAACAGCTTCACTGTGTTTCAAGTAAATGAGTGCAACAAAACACTAGTGGCAAAGTAAAAGCTAGGATAGGACCACTTTAAATTCCTATCGGTGCTTCCTAGTTTTATCTACACCTCAACAAAATTAACTCAAATTCTTTACTTATTACTATAGTAAACTTTAATTAGTAAAGTATTCTATATGCATACAAAGCGGTGGAGAATATTGTTTCTTCTGTTCCTGTCAGTAAAAGTTTTGAACCAAAAATTGTTACAGAAAAAGAATGATCCATTAAGAAAAAATCCACATAAATTACAAAAATGAATTAGAAAAAAAAGGGTAAAACATACACATTTTTGAATGAAAAAGGCATCAAAATCTTCTTTTTCAATCCATGGTGATGACAATAACAGACTGTACTCACATATTTGATTGAGTTGAATTGAATTAAGCAGCCTGAAGTGAGAAGCATGAGCAAGCAAAAGAAGCAGCACTCTTTAAGCACTCCCAATAATTTGTTTCTCCATGATTCATAGAGCCTTTGCTTTTTTTCTTGTATAACTAACTAACTCCTCATGCATGTTTCTCTCTACATTGTACAGATTCCAGTTATTACTCTGATTTTGTTGTTGCTTTTTTCTCAATCTACTTGTTCACCAATCAAATCTAGACCCACCAAAAGGAATGATACTCCTTGGAATAACAAGAAGTAGAAGTGAATTCCTTGAGCTGAAAGAAGACTTCTTGCTGAAGCTGTTAAGAGTAAACAAGCCAAAGCAAGTTCCTTCATATACATTTTATTATATTTTTTCTTCTTTTTCTTCGTCACGTTTTCTTCTTGTTTCCTAATTTCTTCTTTCATTTCCTCGAGATCAGGGGCGGATGACCCCCTTTGATGCTTTGGTTTCTCGATCAAAGAAGCTAGATCACCCTCTGATGAACGGCCAGATTTCTTAGTGACGACCCATTCGTATGCGCTTCCAAGCTGGAATAGACCTGAGATCATGGCATTGAATTTTGTAACTGACATGGTGTTCTCGAATAGGAGATACGGTACAATGAAGGGAAAAGCTTTTGGTGCTGGAAGAATGTTGAGAAATGACATGATTGCTGGGATGTAACAAACAACCCATGCAGGAATTTCGGCCTCCGGTACGAACATTGTCATGGGAAGAATTATGCAGAACAGGGTGAATGAATAGAATGGTAACACCAGTTTTCTTAGAAGGAAAAAGAGAAATATCATGTTGAATTTCTTCCATATGCTTATCTGCAAAAAAAACACAATGCATATCCATAATAATAAGCACAAATGTAACATGTAACATTAAGAAGGCGCAATCACTATAGTCCCCGAACTAATCAACAAAAAGATATGTCCGAGAACGACGCATATATGTATGTTTTCCATAATTTTGATGCAACGCCTAGCACATTTAAAGACCAAAATGATGAATTTCCATTAAAAAAAAGGGCCTTGAGTCTTTGAGAATTGGGATACACACCTTGGCTCGTATGACGTCAGGCAAACAAAGGCGAAACAACTGCATTGGCCCAGAATGCCATCTATGCTGCTGTTTTCTGTAAGCTTCATAAGATTCAGGTAACTCACATTGGCACTGAAAGAGACATTAACAACTATGAATCAGAAAATGAATTAGCCAAGATAAACAAAACAAACACTTGGTTTATGAATCAACGTGTTGTCTCCATTACCTCGACATCATTGAGGAAAATGAATTTCCATCCATGGAGATGAGCTCGAACAGCAATGTCCATATCCTCCACAGTAGTTCTCTCTAACCAACCACCAGCTTCTTCCAAAGCTTTTATTCTCCAAACTCCAGCAGTTCCATTGAAGCCAAAGAAATTAAGAAAAACACCATTCACTTGTTGTTCCACTTCAAAATGGAAAGACAAATTAATATTCTGCAACCTTGTTAAAAGATTCTCATCCTTGTTCACAAAAGACCATCTAGCTTGAACAAGTCCTAATTCGTCATTATCCTGCAGTATCACCAAGTGGATCAAAATCCAAATCCAATCAATGATTAATTATTTAATTATTAACCATATAATAACAAACACATAACAAATCAACCATGATTTCCTCAAGCTACACGACAACATATATCAATAATTCAACAACGACAAAGCTAAAAAACAACCTAAATGAATCATCAAAAAATTCAGTACCTTAAAATGAGGAACAGTTTTTTTAAGGAAATCTGGGGTAGGTTGAAAGTCGGCATCAAAAATTGTAACAAATTCATAATCCTTCACATAGCTACAATTCATTGCAGATTTCAGATTACCAGCCTTGTACCCATCTCGAATCACACGGTGTCGATACAAAATGTTGGCACCTTCTAGTTGCCATTTTTGAACCTCTTCCTTAATCAACGATTGCGTTATCGGGTCATCCGAATCATCAAGAACTTGAATAAGAAAATTTGATTTTGGCCAATCCAAATTACACACTGCAGCAATAGATTGTTGATAAACCTTAAAAAACACAAGAACAACAACAACAGCAACAACAAAAACATCATTAATTACATCAACATAACAACAAGAAACAACAAATTTAACAGTAAAACTTGTAATAATTGCAATTTACCTCTTTCTCATTGCACATGGGGATCTGAATAAGAACCATAGGGAAGAAACCCTTTTCTCCAGATTCAAGATCTAAATCACCACCACCACCACCTTTTGGAACAGGTTTGATTTTCTTAAACCGGATCCAAAAACAACCTAAACAAAGAACCAACCTATCTATACTCTGAATAAGGAAAAGCACAATACAAGCATTTGTGAGAAACTGCAAAGGTGGAGCAAGATAATCAACACGAACCAAAACCCATCTAGCATAAAACCAATCAAAGACATCCTTAACCCCAAATGCCGGTGCCCATAATTCAAGATGCGGAGCACTAAAATGCCAACCTTTAAAATAAGCAACAACCTCAAAAAACAACATAAACACCGACAAAGATAGAAACACTTTTATAAACGTATAGAACCTACTTTTCACGGTAGGGTTTTCCTTTTCCCAACCCCCATCACCACCACCACCCTCTGTGTCGGTTTCCGCGTCTGTCCTCCCGGAAGCCACGCGGCGTTTCACGGCGGAGACAAGAGCATACAATGCAGGGGCTATTGAAGTTAAACAACCCGCAGCTCTATGGGCTTTCAAAAGAAGAACCCAAGTGAGCTGTTTCGCGTTTTTCCCTCTTCCTTTGTCTCTTGAAGAAGGGTTTGTCATGAGAATATCTTCTTCTGAAGGACCCTCGAGTTCAACCATGGACCAATTCGGATTCTCCATTTTCACAACCACTGGTGTTCCTCTATGACTCTCTTTCGCACCCCAATCGAACAAACGTGCCATTTCACCTTCTGATCTCAGAAATCCCTCAGAAATCTCTCAAAATCTCTCAGAAATCTAACAAGAAATCTGAGAAATCACACCGCAACAAACAACAAAACACACAAAATAGATGAAATAAGAAACAATGCTAGAACCTTGATCTCATTGTCAGAAGAAAATGAGACGAAAACGAGAAACGATGACGGTGAAAGACGCGTGGAGGAAGAAAGCAAAGCAATGCGTCGTCAAAGAATTGTGACATTCGGAGCAAATCTATACGCGAACAAACTGTTTGTTTATATTACTCACAGAAAGAGAGAGAGAAACAAAGAACAACACTATGTTCATTATTATGACCTGTTTGGATGAGTCCAAAATCTCAACAAAACGGGGTTTCAAAAACCTAAACACCTCAACACGTTTATACTTTTGAATCGGACATTTTTCTTTTCTTTTTTCATTTTCATTTTCAATTAAAAAAATTTGTTAAAGCTTAATTCAACAGGAATATTACTCAGAAAGCGCTTTTATCCGTCAAACATAACCAAAAAAAAAAGTGCTTTCAATTATGGGAAAAGATCAATCATCATGATTCATGAATATGATTTTCATAAATTAAAAATGATAGAGTTAGTAACAATATTAAATGCTATAATTGATAAAAGTGTAACAAAATTATGTTACAAACGATTTTTCCTTTTTTTTTCCTTCTGTTTTTTTCAACAACTTTTTTTAATTTACAATAAACATTCACAACAACCTGACAACTTGAACCTTATAATCTATTCAGAAATAAATTGAAATCTTGTTTATTTTGTTTTTCTTTGAAAATGTTAGTTAAAACTTAGGGTTTTTAATTATTACATACCTTTTTCTTTCGCCATTGACATAAAAAATAGAAATTTTCAAAAGCTTTTATTATTATTAATTACTAGTTATATTTAATTTTGTTTTAGTATTTATTACTATTACGGTAAAAAGTAATAATGTGGGTTAATTAATGCTGGTAAAAAAATTGAGAAAAGTTAAGAGGAAGTGTGACGGTGTATTAACAGACAAGCGCAGAGTAATGCGCTAAAAAGCCAAAATGTGTCTATCGTTTTTTAATTTTTTATTATTTTAATATTTCATTTTCCTAAGTTTCGGTTATTTTTTATGATAAAGTTCAAAGTTTCAGATTTTTTTTATTTATTTTAATTTTAAACCTTAGTAGTGGAGAATACGAAAGGGGTGGTGAAAAATCCGTAGCCGTCCACATGTTTGAGCTGACCAAGTCTTTAGTTTCACATAGTAACCGAATACTTAAAGGAATTTCTTAATACTCTTATAGTATGGAAAATATTTCTAAAAACTCTAAAATGTCTTTCATATATATATATATATATATATATATATATATATATATATATATATATATATATATATATATATATATATATATATATATATTCTAATTAATTTTTAAAATGTGTTTTGATATGAATATCATTATATGTTATTGTAATTTAAATATTGAATTTAAATATTTAGAAATATTTTTAAATATGTATATTTGAAATAATTTAATATTTCAAAAAAAATATTTATTATAATAAAAGAAAGTATGTTTCGAATAAGGATTAGAATAAATTTAGTGAGTGTAAGACTAAAAGGCGTGAGCTTTATTTTCATGTGTTATTTTCGCAGTATAGTTTTTTTTTAAAGATATTTTTGCAATATAGTTGAATGACTAAATCTACTACGTGGCCATTAAATTTGATGAGATAAATTTTAACCTGATAAATTTAATCAAGGTGATGGTTTGGGGATTCTAAAATGGCAACAAAAAAATCACACCTAGCCGGATTTCTCTATTTGGTAAAATAAAAAGGGAACATGTCAAGCTGTTGATCGCGACTTTGTAGGTCTGTCGGATGTAGCAATTATAAGTGTATAGTTTATCACATAGTTTTAAAGATATTGAATTTACGATGATTGATGGTCAAATTACTGTTATCTTAGAGTTAATGTGTAAAGCAAAGACTAATTATAAAATTTGGGTGTTTGGGTTTAATTGGGAATTAACTAAAATTTAATAATTAATAACGGGACACCGCTATGTATTTCGTTAACTTAAGGATTCAATAAGTCATTGGCATTTGTTTTTAGTATTAAAACACAGTTTCGGTGAAAATTATTCGTTTAAAAATCCTCGTCTCAAACTTCCGTTCTATTGAATCAGATCATATCAGTTAAGCTCAAAATGAGCACTTCCGCTGTTTTATTTAAAACTCAAAAGTATTTTTTGAAAACAAATAAGGTCCAATTAACTTTAAAGCGCTTCCGTTATTTTTAAAATTAATGTTTTAATAAGCACTATCTGGTTAAAACCTCAAACTTCCGCTATGTTGATTTTAACCTTAGACTGTCTCTTACTTCCGTACAAAAACAATTAAATATTCAATTGAAAATTAAAACCAGAAAAGTGTTTTTGTAAAAATAATAATGGCAGTTAGTTACTGAATTCTTTCAATTAAGTTTTTCATACTGGTATCATGGAATCTAGCCAGACATAATTTTATCACGGAACAACATGAAATTAAAATGTAAATTCAACAATGCATGCATGGTAGGAAATAAATAGATTATGCTTATTAAAGTAGGAACCTGAAAGTGAATAACAAAGCAATTAATTCTGAGTAATGTGTATCCTCCACAAGCCGGCAGGATTGACTTGTAGTAAAAATATCTCTCATTAAATTAAAGTAATCATAAGCAAATTCTGGAAGTCTGGAAACAAACTAGTGTTGCAGTTTTTCTCCGATGTGGAAAAACATTACTTTGATGGTGGGATTTATTATTGCCTAAGTAGTTCTACGAAATCTGTAAAATTAATTATAAAAATCTAAATTGGAAAATATCAAAAACACAATACAAAAAATAATGCTAGCAGAAAAAGTGAAAATTGAAAGTAAGACTGTGTAACAATTGTTCAAGGTGCGAGAGATTCCTCCTGTTTGGTAACTGCTTCAATATATATATAGGGTCCATTAGCTGAGGAAAATAGGAATTCAACATGGAGAAGAATCTGTGAACATGCGCTGAGTTCGTCAAGTGCAGAGAAAATCGCAATTGCCATATGATTGTGGCGAGCGTGATATGTGGTGTGACGTGGGGCACATAATTCTTATTTGTCCCGGTCGTAACATGAGACATACCGAGGGGCAAAAAACTCCAACTTGTCCCGGTCGTAACACTCTTGTGGCGGGCGGCACGCCTTCTGGTGCAGGAAGTGCTGAAATGCTTCAAAAAGGCCATTTGAACTTCATTTTTCCATTGTTTTTCTTCCTTTTCTCAGTTATGCCTTGCAAAAGCTAAGTACCTGAAATATGTTGCAAATACTACAAAAAGAGATAAAATATGACATCATGAACGAGGAGTTGGAAATTTAATCTATGTAAATCGGGTGGAAAATGCTATATCTTTTCATGTTATCAAACTCCCCTAAGCTTGAATCTTTGCTTGTCCTCAAGCAATAAAGTCAATATAAAAACCAATAAGGCACAAGTTAAATGCAATTTCATAATGCAATCCGAATCATAAGAGGCTGCCAATGTTTTGCGGAAATGTAAGCTCAACATAACACAAAAGATACGGTAATAATACTAAACATCCTCCATTATGCAGACCAATTCCAGTCATGCCATTATAGCTCAACCTAACCCTTTTTGCTAAATTTTACCTGTTTTCATTCTAGCACAATCACATTAAGCCCTTTATTTTCACACGTGCATAATAGAGTAGCTGATTAGTGACTATGATCCTTTTAAGCACGAGGTTCTGGAACATAAATGCGGTAACCTCCTTTAATTTACCCAATTGCAAATTGCGGAGGATCGAATCGTATTCTGCCCTACCAAATTCAGTATCAGACACCTCTGAACCAACCGACAACAGGTTTTTATGTTATATCATGTAGGTACGACACCTGTTGGATTAAGCGACCGGGTGAGGGTCGCCTAACTTAATTGGTGTATTCCCTATTTTCTTACAGCAAAGCATATACCTTTCAAATATATTGGATCATTCACTTATATTCATCGACTCCCTACGTAGTTTGTGTTTAAAATGGTGTTGACTGCTAAACAAATTACTCAGGGCTACTTTAAAGCTAAATTTTAAGGTTTCTATATGAAGGGTACTGAAATCGATCTAGCGCAATTTGAGGATTTAGAGTGTTATGACGGTATCCATCGTACTTCTGTTTCACTCAAAGTTTCTCATATATCTGTTTTTAAAGTGAGCAACCTATATATTCTTCAAATGTATCAAATTATGCAAGTAACTGTAATACGGTGGGAGAACTGACTTGATTGTTTTGCGTTTTATCGCAAATGTTGCGGTTAGCAAGAGTCGTCACCGACTTTTCTTTTATCCAAAAGGAAAGGTGAAAAAGCACATGAAAGACCTTTGAGATTGTTTCTTGAGTTCGGGGGGTAGATTATGAGAAAGGGAAGGTATTAGCACCCTTTTCATCCATGGTTTTCCATAGGCTCTTAGTTACTTGCTAGATCGCTTGCTTTTGTTTGAAATTATGCTTTGTGTGGTTTTTTAAAAGTATTTTGTAAAGAGGCCATCGTTTAGGCAATCTTTGTAATAATTCTCGTTTGTGAGAATATATACAAAGATGTTTGTCTTTTTGAAAATGTTTTCAATTTTATAATTTGAAATGTGTGTGTTTGTTTAGAAAATAACAAGGATATTTGTTTGAAATGGAGCAAGTAACTGAAAGCAAACTACCTACTCAAATGTCTTTCTTGTTCATTTTCTTTTCCTTTGACATTGTTGTCTTACCATTGGGTAAACAACCCTATCTTTGGATGTAAACGGGACGGGCGTGGGTCGTATAGCCATGATTAGTAATGTTGCAAGGTATCTTAGCATTTTGAGGGACTAAGATCATTTTGTAAGGCAACTTTGAATTGCGTCATCGAGGGACTATGATCTTGTTTTTGTTTGTTTTACTAAGATATCTTACATGC